CTTGTGAAATCATTAGAATTGCTTTGGCTTTTTCATCGTTGGTTAAAATATGGTACATTTTTTTTCAATCTTTTTTAAAAACTTAATAAAAATGTTCTAGTTCGCCACTTACTTATCACTTTGACACAGTTTTGGCATTACTGGCTTGTTAAAAAAGTCAGATTTTGATGCAATACGAGGTGCGTTTTTAAAGTTTGTGCCAATTCCAATGGCCGCGACTGTGACTGTACATTAAGGTATAAATGTTGAATTTTTAGTTTCCTAATATACCAAAACTAGATTGTAGATTGCATTTGGAGTGATTACAGCTTGTTCTAACCGCTCAAACACTGTTACCTTTCCAGATATTTTGTGCGTGAATCTGTTTCTAGATTGGTTGACAAGAATTGTAGGCTTGTCCCAAAGGAGGCCAGCTTCCTCATTGGTAAAATGCCCACCTCTTGGGGTGATGTTAGCCGTATACCTTCAAGGCATTTCAGCCTTTTGCAGAAGTGAGCAGTGCGTTTCAGATTAAATGTTCTGTGGTTTCTGTTGCTTGTTCGCAAGTGGTCGTTGTCTGATTTGCCTATTGTTTTCAAGTGGTATTTTACCAGGCAATGCCCAGTGAGTAGACCAACAACTGTTCTATGTCTCTTCTGTTCATGTCAAGAAGTAGTTCAAATCTCTTTGCTTGGATGGATATGGGTATTTTTGCCTGTTTCAGACCCGGAGTGGATCTTTAATGAGCTAGCATTAGGTCGTTTTCCCACCTACTCATATTTTCGGAGAGGTGGCTTTTTATGAGTCCACAAAACGGCCCTAGGCCTTGGAAAGGTGTAACAGCGCCTTGCTTTGCGAGACGGTCTGCCCAGTTGCTCAAGGATATTTTCACCCTCCCAAATTAGCTGCGAATTGCACTTGATGCCTCCTTAAGCCTTCAGAGTCGCTTGACTAACGTACTGTATGAAAATGTGGTCTGTTAAAAGACGTCTTTTAAGCGTTTCAAGACACTCTTGTGCACAGATATTAATCGCCAGTAGGTACCTCAGCTTGAAATATTGTGTACCCATTGGTAAGGAGAGTTTAAAGTTTGTCCAGTTATTCCCCGACTCCGTTAGCTTCGAACCATCTGTCTACCACAATGATGCGTTGTCCGCGTGCGGTAGTTTCACGTTCGTCCATGATTGGCTTTCTTTTACAACCACACATATTGAATGTCAAAGTCCAGTGATGTTATCATGATTTGTTGCTTTACTTTGGCACTCGAATTTTATAGACTGAAGGATGCGTATTCCAAAACTAACTTAAACTAACTCGAAGAAGTGCTCCTAGCATTTGTCAAAATAAAAAGCATAATATGCTCTACGCAATACCAAGTGAATAGTCCCGGTCATTTATATAAGCTGTTTTAATTAGGTACCCAACAATATATCTGGATTAGCTGTCTCATTTTATTCGAGAGCGGAATAAAAAAAATCCAGATAATTAAGTCAAGTGAGTCTAGCTCCTGCATCACAATAATTCATTCCCTAAACGTTAACTATTTAATAGGGATTTAAATAATATAGGATTAGAGTAAGCATTAAAAAAGACCCACGTTTTCAGGATCACAAATTAAAAAAGCGACTAAATGATACAATAAGGGGATTATTGCAATCCCCATGTACCAGTTAACTAAAGTGATTATCTGTGTAGCGTTTTAACATAACCCCGCCCATGGATATTTAGAGATTTACCGTCTCACCCCAATTTTGGGAGGGAGTCTAGCACATTCGCAAATTACATTTACAAATAGGGGGTTAAGTCAGGTTTATTCATTTCGAATATGAACTAAACATGTTACCTATTTAATTTATACATTACTTTTGCCCAGAATTCACCCCTGCACTAAATTTATTTAAACGGATTTACTAATTGAGGGTCCTTTACCCATCGATTTTTTTTCAATTGTCTCTTTAGAGGAGTAGAAGCTTAGTTTTTTCATATACTCACTTGTCTCGTCATAACTGACTTCAAAGTTTTCAATCTATAGTGTTTTGCAAACCGTATTATTCCTAAAATAAGGCAATACATTGTGAATGGAAAAGTTCACCTCCCATTCAAATATAGCTGAACCATGGTATAAAGTTTAAATGTAAAAGTGGTTGGCATCTTTAGAAGATAGCTCTCAACTTTTCTGGCAAAGAAAACGACTAAGCCAAAACGTTGAAAGAAAATAATTTGAAAGTTCTTTGTAATCGTGGTAAAGCGGGAATGTTCCGCTACATTAGGATAAAATAGAGGCGGTCCAGAGTGTCTGGAGAGGAACATAAATTTAACTTAATACATTAAATTATTTAGAAGAGACGGCTATTTCTAACTGAAAATCATCTTTAAACCACGACTAGTATCCTCATAACTCTATGCTCGGCATGAATATGCCATGAACTCTATTTTGAGGCCCCCATTTCACCCCAGTTTACATTGTTATCAATAAATTTTGTTCAGAATTATGTTTTGGTTTACGCAGGACAATTTATATTGTAACATAATTGGCAACGTTATTAAACATGTTTTATTTATTGGAAATCATTTGACTACTTTAAAAACGAGTTTTAAGGCTATATTATCATGGAAGGTTGCTTTTAATTACTGAAGAATAAACGAAACGAAAAATTCTGTGTTTGGTATACAAGTAGTGTAAGTTCGCAGCATATGGAAAACTTTTTTATTATCAATGGGCTCTTTCACTAATTTTTGAAATTGAAATAATTAGATAAAGCAACTAAAAACAGAATTTTCTGTATTTTCACTTTTGAAAAATTCACAGTCCTTCTTGAGAAAATGGAAAAAAAAGAAATACCTCCAAATAAAAACTCAGCATTTATTCCTATGACGTCGCCGCTTGCATTTTGACCGTGTTGCCACTAGTTGTCAACATTAAAAGTTGTAATGGATTTATTTCTAAAATGTTGGCAAAATACCAACCGACAACAGCGCATTCGAGCCTTTTACAAGACTGTAACGCAGCCGAGCGTCAGCTGCTCCCAGGCATGTACCAAATGGAAATTATTTAGATGACGTCATCACTTGGCGCGTTTTAAATCATTTTGAATTTGGTCAGTTTTAAGTGCCTATAAAAAACTTATTCAACGTTGAAGATCATTTTTTTTAGTATATATGCCTAAAATAGTCCCTTAATACTTAAATTACGTATTTAAATTTAAGTGAAAGAGCCCATTTTACGAAAAAAAGTTATTCCTCATGAAAGTTTCTGCTTCTTGAAAAAATAATATTAAACTATTAAAACTTGAAATAGCATGTACAGGGTGGTCAGAAAATAGAAAAATATACAGGGTGTTTCCTAGTACGGTTCGTAAGTTCGGGATGTAATTCCTTACAATATTTTAAGGAAAAAAGTTCTCACATACACATGTGTCCGGAAATGCGTAATTTCTGAGATACAGAGTGTCAAAGTTTTTTTAACCAAATCGTTTTTTTATTTAAAGCTCAGAAACCCCATTAGATTTACCGTTATTATGCCAGTTGCGCCCAGGGGACAATTTCGTTCCTAAAAAAAATGTAACATGAATTGCTTAATTTAAAAAAATTATCAAAGTTATGAAAAATCAGTGCCGTGTCATTTTTTTTTTCTACTTTTACCAACGATATTGCCCTCTGGGGAGCCACTGGCATAATAACGGTATATCTAATTGAGTCAAACAAACAAATCTGCCAAGTTTATCGAAAATCGAGAAAGGGATTTTTGAGGTACCTATAAATAAAAAAACGTTTTGTTGTTTGAACTTTGACACCCTAGTGTATCTCAGAAATTACGCAATAGTTGGCAATAGTCTTGGGCTTTATATTCCGATAATATTACTCTTCGAAAGCCAAATAGTCATTTCACTCAAAGTCAATTAAATTGCAATTATTCCATAGTCAATGAATTTTATATCAGTCATTGCAATAATGGTTATATACTAAAGTCTCAATTCTTACATGTACTTACAATTTTTCCTTACATTCACTAAATTATTCTAATAAATTAAATCTTTCGAATTCTTAGAGCACGTACAAACCTAATGTAGTTCAACCGTTTTAAAATTTTTTTAAGCTTCTTGATTCACGTACGTTAACTGATGTTACCTACTTTACGCGATGTCTCTACTTTTTCAAATGGGCAAGATTCGATTTTAAGCGCGAATTCAAATTGATGTCCGAGGCGTTGAAAAAAAAAAAAAAAAAAATCGCGAACTTTATCTGATGACCGTTTGCTTTTCGACTCTAGACTATCTCGGACTGATCTGGACTGATGAATGCGATATCGCAATTTCCTTGATAACCTGGGTCAACAGATATCGTAAAAATATGAGGCCACATGTATCAAAAGATGCCGAACTCGTGGCGGCCATAAATAATGTTTTGTTATGTAGGTAATAATTGTACCTTAATTCACCATTATCGACAGAAAACTCTCTTTTTGCATTTTAAGTTCTGGTAAATCAATGCTCCATTTTTCCGGGTCATTAATTTATTTGTAATATCCGGCTAACGTTCCTATGGGATCATTTTCCTATTTTGACCAATTTTGTCTTCTTTTAAGCTGTGAAATACCAATTTTCTCCACCAGAGTAGTGGAAATCACACTCCTTCCCATCTATGTAAGTTCAATTTTTCGTGCGTCTAACTATACCTACACTTTTAAAAAACCTGGCCCTAGAAATGTCGGAAAACACCTTCAAACATTATCCGGAAAATCCGATTCACAAGAGTCACCTACCACCAGTTGAAGAAAAATTGATTACTATTATGAGGTGCAAAGTTGAAATTTTTGGAAAACGGTAGATATGCATTTTAAGCAGAACAACCTCATTATTCCTATAAAAACAGGTGCGTCTTTTTGAAGAATTCAAACTAATTATTAGGCTTTGCGGCCTAGATATAAATCTAATATTCTAGGTAGCTACCTGAGGGTGGCCCAAATTTAGAATGGCATTATTGATATTGATGTTTCAACAAGTATTCATGTTTTATTTAAGGTATTATGATGAGCAACTCCAACCCTCCCTCCAGTACGCCACTAGAACCTTGCAGAGTAATTCCGTACATGAACGTGCCTGCATTACGAGGTCTTTCACTAGGTTCTGGATCTGTGGGACTGTCAAACTACGAGAGACTTTCGTCAACGTCCTTTTCGCAACATGGCACTGCGTTTTCTGCTATTAATTCGGCATTTATTAGCGCTGCGCATCAGGTAGAAATGTGTCAAAATAGTAACAGAAGGGAAACTAATATTTTTATTTTATTTTAGTATGCAGCTGCAGTAGCAGTAGGTGGAAATCCGGCTAGTATACTGTGCCCTCAATACCCCTTGGAGTTTGCTGCTTTAGCTGTGGCTCACAAGAATTCCAGTATTGCGGATTTGAGGTTGAAAGCGAAAAAGCATGCGGAAGCATTGGGCTTATCTGCGCGTGAAAAATCTCAGAACTAGTTTTTAGCTTTAATTTTTTGTTATTATTGTTCAACTGTGTTCGTAATTAAGTATAGTATTAATTTATTTGATTAATAATTTCGAGACGAGCTGTCTTGTTCAGTAGTAAAAATGCTAATTTTTTGTTTACTATCTATCAAAATTTTTTTAGTTTACAAAAACTAAATTCGTCATTTCTTCTAATTATTTATAAACAACCTATACAGGATCTGTTCAAATATTTTTTAGAATGATGTTTAGGTAGGTAAAGGTAGTTTTTTTTTCACATTATATTTTTTTCTTAATTTGTTAAGTAACAAAAAAATAGAATTGACATCTATGTTTCCTTGCAATTTTTTATTTTCTGTGATACGGATACCTACCCATTTGTTTAACATTTTATTTGCAGGTTAACTGCTGTGGTGAAATTTAAAGCAGTTAATAATAGATCGTGTATTTGTTTTCATGATGATGCTATGCTTCTAGAGTTATTTAATTTTTTATTGTAAGCAAATATTGCACCTAAAATTTGTATATACATTTTTGTTTGTACCTTTCAAAACTGTATCATAACTCAAATAAATTTATGGGTTTAAGATGCCAATCTTGTGTTTTTAATTCATTTTGTCTTCGTGTGGTCTATGATTTAAACTTTATTGTCGTCAAAATTTGAGACAGAAGTGATCGATTAGTTATTTATTAGACCAAGAAGTGAAGGACTTCAGAGGTTGGAAGGTTGAGATAAGCACAAAATGACCTGCGGAACCGAATGGTATACAACATATAATCTTCAAGACATTACAATAGTTCTTTTCACAACTTACCTAATCACTGCTTTTGTCATCCATTTTCAGCAAAATGACAGGCTGCACCTATAAATTACGATGTACGTCAAGCCTGTTTATTTTAAAGTTCAAATCAATATCAGGTCACTCGGAACACATTTTACTGGCTCGGAACATGAACGCTGGTGTGCACGAGCAGACACATCAACTTGATTATCCATACTTATTTATGCTCGTACTTTATTTTGCGATAATTGGAGCAATAATATTGGACCAAAAATGCGAAACGAACAAATAATTATGAATAAATTATGCTCTTGCAGCTACTTTCCGAACTTGGTCATTGACGCTGCTATCTAGCGAGAAGAAAACCCAAAATTAATTACAAGAGCATGGCAGCGCTTATTGACGCCATTGCCTCTAGTGAGAACGAGCAAATTACCCCATACATATAAATATTTTGAATCCTAGGTAACGGGTGTTAAAAAAAAAACGTAAATCAAAGATGGCTATGATTTTTTGAACGTATGTCTTAGCAATATTTTCATATAATTTTGTAATGTCATGGTCGCTCGGAGTACAGCAGCTCCCTAGCCTAATAACCGTATTAAAAAAAATAGATTGATGATGGTTTCTGAAAAACGAAACGTCGCAGTGAGAATAGGTAAACGCCATCTTATTGAGCCTAGAATGTGACAATGGGAAAGTGTTTTTATTTTTTAATATCTGTTAAAATAACGTCAGAAATAACTGAAAGCCAAAATCAAATAAATTACTTTTTTCAAAAAAAAAAAAAAAAAATCGAAATCGGAAAAAGAAAACCCAATCCCACAAACTTTATGTAAAAGGTAGTCAAATTGCCCTGCATACCGTATAAGTTTGAATAGGAAATTTTCAGTTGGATGTAAGTTTCACGTAGGTATAAACCTTACCGTGCCATTGTTTTCTTCAAAAATTAGTATCAAAATAGTTCACAACAATAATGGTTTTGCAATAAAATAAATCAAAACTTGCATGATCATAACTCCCTGTAGACGTAATTAAACTGTCACAAACTTACATTCAACGACTCATTATCTGTATGTGTATGACATACTTTTGTAAAATTTCAACCAAGGATTTTGCTGTTGCATTATAAGTTTTTGCAATTATTATGTAAGTAAATTACAACCACTTTGTCGAGTTTTGTCGTTAAATAAAATAGGTAAAAAAAACGCAGTTCCCTTAGTGCTATTCAATCAGCTTTACCGGCTGCCCATCAAGTTGGGGCTCTGCAGCAGCTTTTAGAAATCAGCTGGACTACTGCGTAAATTGTGCAACTCTTTTTCCATGGGTTGATCCGGATAAATATCGTTTCTGCGTTTTGGCAGTCGGTTTTTGACACGGCTGCTCATTTGAAGACGTGAATGAGTTTTTGCAGATGGTATAGGTTTGGCTGGAAGGTTTCCTTCTTGGGTCCCTTCGTCGACACTTTGATAGATGTAGATTGCAAGAAGACCAAAGTCTAATACGATGGTGAATATGATAAATTCTGTGTGTTTGGACATAAATGTTTATTGGATCAGTTTATCCAATTTATCATTAAACTGAGTCAATTTATGTTGTGCTACATATTCGTATTGATTTTAGTAGTTTCCAATTAGTGATGCCGCGAGACGAGACTAAAATGACACTCTCGTCTCGTCTCGCCCTAATCTCGTCTCGTCTCGAGGCCACTTAGTCTCGACTTCGAGACGAGACGAGACGAGACTAAAAGAAGCGAGACGAGACGAGATTCTCGACTAATCTCGTCTCGTCCGTCAAATAATCGATAAATAATAAATAAATGATAGGTATACGGTATATGCAGTATTGTTCCTGGAAAAATTTCAAATGAACTGAAACCGCAAGGATAATAAACACTATAGGATTGCCCATAAGGTCTGTATAGTTCAAATCTCGAGCTCCCCACTACGCAAAAGTACCACTGATGACATAGTCAGCGTGTCGTTCTTCGCTTTAATGTCGCTTTGACGTAGGGTGTTTGCACCACAGGCTATGATTCCGCTGACTCTAGGGAATTTTCCGCGCTGTAACCATGTAACATTTTTACTTGTAGTTACATCATACCATTTTTTTTTCTACTTATGGTTACCTCATACCTCACCATTCAATATGTCAAATGAGATATCATGACGTCATAGTATGATCATACCTGGTTACTTGTGGTTACAGCGCGGAAAATTCCCTTTTGGCTTTATGAACTTGGTTTCAGTACCGTAAAGTTGGGTCACTTTGGTCCACTTTTGAACTTTGCATTGTCATAACTTTTAAACCAAATGTTATAAATTTTTGTTCTTGGTCTTATTTTGTAGGTCTATATTAGTACTTTCAACTTTGAAATTGGCAAAAACCGGAAGGCTTTCTAAATCCATTTTTTTTTTTTTTTTTAAATAGGGTGGCCAAAGTCAGACAACGAGGTTAGGTTACTTTGGCCACACATTGTTTTATTTAGAAAACGTAAAGACGCGCAAGAATATAGGTGACTTTGGCCATAGATATAATCGCCAAATAGGTTTGTGTTGTTTTTTTTAGGCTTTTGAGCATATAAGCATAGCCATCTCTTTATAATAATAAGAACAATAGTACATTATATACCTAGGTAGAGAAGTTGGTCATTATATACCGAGCGCTTTTATAAACCGAGACGCGTAGCGCCGAGGTTTATAATGCGTAAGGTATATAATGACTTTCTCTACCGTGGAATATATGTATAGAATTTTTTTCACTACTGCTATAGTAGAAAATAAAAAATAAGTTTGAAATCTGAGCTCAAATTATTTTTTCTAGTTGAAAGTGCTGCCCTCTATCAACATCTATGGTAATTTCCTATGATACATACAGGAACCTGTTTTTTTGATTAAATTGACAGTTTGAAATCGAAATTAAATCAATAGAAACCTGTAACGTTATGACAATATCCTTGCGTCATGACGTCATTTTCATTATTGACCTAGGTTTTTTTTCATTATTTTCATTATTAACTTAGGGAGAGAAATTCAATTTTTTCCGAGAAAAATAGATTGAATAATGACTGACTTCTCAGGTTAGTAGTAAAAAAAATGTTTTATAATGGTTTTAATTTAAAGAACATTCTTTGCGGTAAAAAAATAATAGGAACTAAGGAACTAACTCTGTTGATAGGGTAAATTCCTGCTTTTTCAAATCCACTTCTTAAATTTTCCCTGCCTGGTTCTAATCAGGGTGACGAAATCATATAACGTCATCTAAGTCGATGTAAGTGACGTAATCATATAACGTCACTTTGGATAGGGGGACAAAAACGTCATTGTGAGGTTATGTGTGTGACGTCAGCTAGTGCCTAATTACCAACTAAATAGAACCGAATTTTCGTGACGAATGTAGTTCATCCAAGGACGAACCATAGTTCGTCTGTGACGTCATGAGTTTGAACGCTGGCTAGAAGCTACGTCCATGCTTTTATCGAACTATGTTCAATATGACGTCATGAGTTTCTCGCGAAAGTGTTTGTGTTCATGAAATCATGGAAGTAGTTCGTCGCGAAAATTCGGTTTATGTTGAACATGTTGTGACCAAAGTCAGACCAATAATAAAGATTTTCTATTGGGCGACTTTGGCCGCTCTCTAGCGGTACAACCTGCAATCCTATCTTTGCAGCGACCGCTCATAAACTTTCTTCAAGGTTGTATGAAGTTGCACTTTCACCTGAAAATCTAAATGTCGTCTAGTTATTCACCCATGAGTAAAGTTTTTGAAGGCAAAAATTGCTCGTTTTTTATTATTATGCCTTATTATTTTTTGTCAGGAACTTAAAAACAAATTGTGTGCTGTAAATAATTTTTTTTCCGTCCAATATGATCTATAGAAACATTAAAAAATCACATTTGGAAAATAATTATTATTATAACGTAATTGTGCATGAATAAAACAAATATTGAAAAATGGCCAAAGTCAACCCTAGTGGCTAAAGTCACCCAACTTTACGGTACATTAATTAGCATTCAAAAACAAACATTTCTTTAAAATATTTTCTTCATCTTCATCTCTACATATTATGTTATCAATCATAAATTTGAATTCTTAACTACGACCGCTGGCGCAAATAGTCGTCGGCATTGTTGATGACGTTGACAACGGTGCTACACCATATCATGTTGATGCGACAAATCGAGGCCGATAAGCAATCCTGTATCCTGTAGTAGTGTTTATTATCCATGCTGAAACCGGTCATGCGATTTAACTGCTTTCAGAGCAAATTGTACTGTTTTCTGTCGTAGGAAGTTTGAAATAAAACATGCTGTTAGCCATAGCTGTATTCCTTCCACACAAGGAGGGGCTCCGGAACAGCTCCGTGGCGTTTCGCGTGTTTGCTGCA